GAGTGATTATTATTTATGGAGTTTTTCACTTTTTTTCGTTCAAAATATACCCAAGTACAGGAACAAAAATCGAACTTTGGGTAAATAATTTTGCTTAATTATTCAATAAATCCAATATCAAATAGTAATCAATAAATGATCTAAATACGCTCTCGTTTGCTTTATTTTTGCCAAATTATAAAATTTTATTGCATTCTTTCGGTGAAAATCGGCCAATTTAAGTTACCTTTGGATCGTTTCTAGACATAAAAAACCGATTTTTACTAATTTTAAACTTAATTAAGTAGAAAATGATTTCAAAACGCAATCGTTTGTCTTATTTTCACCAAAAATGGTGTCTTTTTGCGTTTTTCCGACCTTTACAGATTTTCCTATGCGAAGTTTGAACGTTTGAAAATTTACGTTTTTGTATTAGGAGAGCATAAGAGGCTTAGGATCTTTTGCCGCGAATCCCGCTTGACCGCGGAGAATTAGTGTTATTATTATTGTCTGAAGCTTAAGATGCGTTCAATTTCAGTGAACGGATACATTTAAATGTAAAATAATTAGTTTACCAATAACTAAAGTGATAACGATGATATATTTGAGATTAAATAAAGAGTTCCTTACTACTGCAACACTAAATTTGAAGTTAATTGCCTTTCATAAATATTCGATTTTAAAAGGATAATTGAACGTTGTCACGTTAGTGTTTACATTTTGAAATGTTGCTTTGTAGGTTATTACTTACTAAAATTACGAAAATTTTGCTTTTAAAGAAAGTTTAGAAGTGAATTCTGGTTTCTATCGTATCGTTTTGATAGTTATTATTGAATTTATAGGTAATAGGTGTGTTTAAATTAAATAATCATCCACTTATCGTCTTCTCTTTTTTCAGTGGCAATGCACAAAAAAGAACGTTTGTTTGGCAAGATAGAAATTAAAATAAGACTGGAAAAAGACAAATCTACCTAAATCTAAAGAATCAGTAGCCTATTAACAAGCTAAATGCAATATTTTGCTTGCAACAGACTGTTGTGAATTGTATTTTGCAACAATAAAATACGGTATTTTTTTCATTTATAGGGATTAATATCGTTGCAATTTAAGGCAGAACTTATAATAACTTATTTGCTATCTTGTAGCTTCATTAAAATGCATTAAAATGATGAAAACTATTGGATATTTGAATTCTTTCTGTGCTCCATGTCATATAAACGCGCAGTGTATTTTTAAGTTGCAGATAAACAAAATGAAGTAAAAGGGCAATTATGAGCATGAATTGAGCAAAATAGTTGGTTTTTGTGGTAAACAAATGATGAAAATTGTTTTTTGTACAAATCGTAAACAATTATATCGAGAAAATAGTTTTGTGAAGAAAATGTGGCAATTATGTTGAAGTGTAAGTCGTTACAAAGTGTTTCTGCGTTAAATTACCTTTAAAAACATTGTTTTATCAATTTCAGATGACCTCTAACATTTAATTTAAATGAAAAGTTTAATGAAAAAAAATGTATGCAACAATCAGCAGGAAATTGTCTTCAATATTGAAGGATAATGGATAATAATAATTCAATATGCTGTTGAAAAGTTGTGTGTTGCACATTTAATAATTGTCAGGATAATAACATTCTATTTTCTGTGGACCAACACTGTTTCAATACAGATATCACGAATAACTTTTTACATACCTGTTGGTGTTACAAGGACATCTGATTTATTTTCCAAAATATCCATGCCAAAACTATCAAGAGAATACCTATTTATGATGTAGTTACATGTTACTTACACAATTAAAACATACTTTACTAGTGGGATTACAATGTATAGATTTACAAGAAATAAAAATGAAAGTTTGTTGAATAAGAAGGAAAAAAGTGAAATAAAAAAATTTTAAGCTGAATTTAGGGGGTGTTAAGCAGGGTAAAAGAACATTTAAAAGTTAGAAAATATATGTAACATAGGAGAAAGGAATTTAAGTGTGAGTTTTTAGTTTTAAGAGATTAAAATATAAATTTAATGTAAAAGAAGCAATTAGCATCAGAAATTAAGTATTATTTATTATAAAATACTTTACACAGTCTTATTTGTACTTTATATACAATGCAATGAAAATTTTTTGTAAATTTTACGTTGTATACATTATTTTACTATTAATATAATTTTTGAGCTGTTTAATGTTGTTATTTAAAATAAATTTCATTTAAGAAAATCAAAGTAGATTAGTACTTTGTAAAACAGTTACGCACATATTTTTTATTTGTATTAGTTAAATTTTGATTCAAATTTGAATTTTACCCACAATTTCACATTTTATTGAGTTACCATTTCATACAAAAAAGGTATATTATTAATCATTTATTAAT